AGAAACATAAGAATGATTCTCTAAAACAAGACTGGCACTTTGGAAATCTGATAGCCCACTTAAATATTAAGATGTTTTTATTTTGTCCTGGGTTTCTTGTTCTACAATGTAAGAATGGTATGTGGTAGCACATAATTATAAAGCTTGAAGTAGTCTTTCAATATCAATGGCTACTCAAAGGATGTGTTTTCAACTGGAAAGATTTTTTGTGAAGTCACAAAGCCCTGCTCCAATTCCCTGATGAAGAATTTTATATTTTAAAACCATATACCTACCCAAATATCATAAAAGGAAATATTAAAATATTAAAATCCCATTGAAGACGCATTGCTAAAATATATGGAGGCATGGGTTTCAGAAACGGTTGTATTTCATATCTGTATTAATTAGTACATGACCAAAACAATATATTAATGGCTTCATGAGACTTGTTCCACTGGGAGATGAAGGCACTAATGAATACTAAAATTACCCAGGAGAAGCCATGAATACAGCTCTAAATCTGTTACTCATATGCTGTTTTTTAAATGCCAGTTATCTTGAGCCACTACCTCGTGTCTCTCTTACTGGAAAATGCTTTGAAATACAGCATTTCAGAAAGCAACTTGATCAAATCAACACACTTCTAAATTACCTGTGTATATTAAGTCCAAATCACAAGATAAAGGCTGGGTTTGCTTTCCTGTCTTGCCCAGGAAATGGCTTTAGTTTTAAAATTTATTTGAATTGTAAAGAGAAAAGTGGATGGGTGTTTTCAGCAGTAGCAATCTAGATTTCTACAGGCACCTCTGGGTCATTGCTCTGAGCCACCATCTCCATTCCCTGCCTTTGTTTTTCCCAGGTACCTCTATGTATGTCCTCTACAGGAACACGGCTTGCTCCGGTTTCTGAACAAATCATTACCAGAGTGGCAGAAAGAATATCAATAACCTCATTCCCAATATCCAGAGGGGCCCAGAATTAAGTCTTTTGAAAGATGCAGAATCCTGTACCACTTGGATGAATTTTTGGCTTCCACATTACCACATTCCTATTCCACTCACACTGTGTAAAACCATTTCATAAGAGGATTTTCACCTCTGCTTTCCAGACATTCCCCTTCACCGCTGAGGCTGAACATGTGCCCTGTAATTAGACCTTTTTTGATGAGGTTCTTTACAATTGCCTGGCTCTAGCCTATTTCCCTCCGTGAAGGTTTGGGGGCTGAGAAAATACGCATCCGCTCTCCTTTTAGTAGCCCTAATACAGTATCATTCCCTGGGAAATTCAAGGGTGACCCATATTTACCACAACCCTTAGACCATCTCCAGAGATCAGGCATCTCAAGCAAGTTGTGAATGTGGTCGAGTCCTGTTAATTCTGAGTTGAAATTTTGGAAAAATACCTAAAGAGCTAATATTTTGTGTCACTTACTAAAAGCGATGTCCTTGCACTTTAGATGTCATCTTTATAGGCACTAAAGCAGATACTTTGTTTTGAAAATGTCCCTGGACTGTGCTCTTGCCCCATTCAAGGACCACTGTACTTTTGCCGAAAACATTCAGGAAAATAAGCCGAGCGTCTGCTAAGAACATCGTAGACAGAATCTCCAAAATGTTCGGTGTTGAAATCTTGAGATTCAGTGTGAAAAAAAAAAATGGCAGGAGGACATGCTTTCCATGGTCAGATATGTTAGGAAAACTCATTATGGTATATTATCCCCCTTGGAGTCTCTCAGTACTTACTGGTATACTGACAGTTCTGGGAAGTCCTGTGGTGAAAACAAAACCAGAAACTAAGACCTATTTGCTTTGTTTAAGTCAGCTTACTCTAAAATATATATTTTTTTAAATAACACCCAATATTACCTCATAGGCCCTATTTTTGGAGTGCTGTTGCAAACACCATTGCAGCATGGATTTGATTTGGGGGGGTCTATTTGATTCCCTGTAACAAAGTTCTTGGAAGATCTGCAGGTGCAGTCTGCTGTTCCATCCTTCGCTGCTGTCATTCCCTTCCCAGGAGGTCCCTTGTAGGCCCTCATACCTGCTTTTATCTGAGCACAATGATTTTGCAGAGTACCTCCCATATGAACTGAGAATAATATAACTCCAGAGGAGCGGGACCTCAGAATCCTGCCCCACCCCTGCTGTGAGATCTGGGAGGTTCAGGAGGAATATCAAGCCAAGGCCCTTTACTTCCCCCTCAAGCAGGTTTGCCAGCATCCTGTATATAAAAGCAAACAAACAAAGCAGGTCCTGTATGTCTTTGTCTTGTGCTATTTTCTCCTCAGGAGACTCAAGGAGGTGAGGTCCCTGGTCAGAAGGAGGTGATCTCAGCTTGGCAGATGGAGGAATTCTATACTCTGCTAGGAGTCAAGGTAAGGAATCAGTGAGGGGTGAGCAAACCACCCCAGGAAAGAGGGGTCCTGGTGTCAACTCTGGGAGGACCCACACAAGGATTGTCATATGAGATGTCCCCTGACTTGCTCATAAGGGTCTCAGAGAGGTGAAGGCCTTGATGTGAAGGGAGATGCCTCAAGCAAGCAGAGTGAGTGTGTAAGGAGGTGCGAGTAGGCTTTCCCTGGGCCCCCTGGGTGGCTCAGTCCTTTAAGCTTAGGACTCTTGATTTCAGCTCTGGTCATGATCTCAAGGTAGTGAGATCCAGCCCTGCATGGGGCTTTGCCCTGGGAACGGAGCCTGTTCAAGATGTTCTCTCTCCCTCTCCCCATTCCCACCCCGTCCCCTCCCTCTGAAAAAAAACAAAACAAAGCCCCAAAACCAAAATGCCTCCCAGAACCCTGCTCCTGCTTTCAGGCTCGTGCGGCCCAGGAAGGAGTAGCCCGAGGGATCAGCAGGACCAGAAATTCCCCTCTAAGAACTCAGGAGGTCCTGGGGCCAGTGAGGCTGGGCCAGTAGAGGGAGGAGCCACAAGCGCTGGGGGTCCCACAGAGCCCCGCCCCTGCTCATAGCCCTGAGATCCCACCCCCCCCCCCACCCCTCCCCCCCCCACCCGTACCCCTCCCCCCGACCCGTACCCCTCCCCGCCCCACCCGTACCCCTCCCCGCCCCCGGATGCAGATCATCCGACTTCCTTTGTGGGCGGGACTTCGACCACTAGGCACGGCTTTCCTTTGTTCGTTGGCGTCTGGCTTCCTGGGACTGGTGTAAAGTTAAGGTGAGGACCCTAAGAGGGAACTGGACAGACTATTCCCCCCACATAATGAAGTTGGCCCCCCAGTTGGTCCCGGCCGACTGGCAGGCCAAATTTGGCCTAGAAAGTCTCGCAGAGAAGGCCTTGGTCTGAGGGAGTAGGCCCGATTTTCGGGGTGGAGAGCTAGATCCTAACTGGATTCATGATGAGGTCCCTGAGTGCTTTGAGCAGACCTTTACCCAAAAGAGGGGGCCACACTGGCAAGCCCCCCTGTACTCTGCTTTGGGAGGCTCTAGGAAGGGTAGACACATGTTGAGAGAGCTGCTTTTCCCTCTAGCAACTAAGGGAATTGGGGGCTCAACCTGCCAACTCCCAAACTCAGCAAAGGAGGCCCCAGGCAGAGCTGGCAGCCTGAGGTGCCCCCTCATTTTATCTGGAGGTGATCTTGAAGGGGAGGGCCTTGGTCTAATGGAGCAAGCTCCTTTCAGCAAAATAGACCCATTCCCTAACAGGATTCGAGGTTCTGTTACCCAGGAAGGATGGAGGACCCCTCCAAGAAAGATGAGGGGGTACGTAAAGCCATGTTTTCACACCTGGGAAACTTGGGCATGGTGACATGATGCCTTATACCTATTTCTTCCCAGAACATCTCAGGGAGGTAAGGGAGCAGGTCAAAGTGGCAGTCTCAGGCCAGCACAGGGAGGATTTGAGATTATGCCACATGTCATAGTGAAAACCTTGAGAACTGTGGACATGTCCCATGCCATATCAGTGGGGCCCCAAAGAATCCTGCCTGTTACCAGCCCTGGGAGACCTCAAGGATAGATGTCAGGCAGAAGTGTTCATCAGTTCTCACTCCACGATAGCAGGACAGTGAGGGTCTTTTGTCTGAGGGGAGCAGTTCTAGGTCAGCAGAGGAAGAAATCTGAGTCAGATTTAGAGCTTGAGTTGGGATCCTGTCAGGGACCACCTACCATAGGACACAAACCTGCCTGCAGTAGCTTTTACTCTTGAGGGACCATGTTTGGTCAGATAAGGTTGTCTTCACTTTTTCCTCTTGGGACTCAAGGAGGTTCGCTCTTACCAGGACATAGGCATCCATTTGAGAAAAACTGGAGCTTCTCTACTAGGAGCCAAATTGAGGAACCCGAGTGAGGAATCAAGGGGTCATCCAGTTCTGAATAAAGAGGACATCAAAACATCCATATTAACCCTTTGATTTCAGCCCAAGAAATCACAGGGAAGGGCTGTCAGGTTGAGCATGCCCTTCACTTCTTTATATCAGGTCTCAGGGCTGTGATAGTCTTAGTCTGAAGGTGCAGCCATCAGTCAGCAAAGCGAAGTGGTGCCAAGCCCTTCAAGTAGCCAAGACGAGGACCTTAAAGGAGGCTGAGGAGCCAAATGAACTCAGGACAGAGAGGACCTTACTGAGGTCCAGCACTGGGTATTCTCTAGCAGGGAGGTAGACTGAGGCACCCCTTCAGTTCCTTCTCCTGGGTTCCAGGGAGTTTGAGGTATCATCTTCAAAGTAGCAGAAGGGAGGGTTCCCCTAGCTTTGCCAAGAATTGACAGGATAAACTGAGAGGACCCAGAATGCCAGAACACAAGGGACCTTACTGCAAACACCTGCTCTCAGCTGAGTAAACCCAAGGCAGGGCTAGCAGGATGCCAATAAGACATACTCTAAGCGTTCCATGGCTCCTCTCTGGGATTCTTAGGGGACAGCTGACCAAAAGAACAGGAGCCTTTGTGGGGTCCTAGAGCAGTACTCTGAATGACCCTGCAGAGGTGGCCTTTGATAAAGCCAAAGTGAAATCTACCTGTCGAAGGTGACAAAACCATCTTACTCTCCCTCCTGCAGGGGCTCAAATCACCTGTTCACTGACTCACACCCTTACCTGCTATCTCTGATCACAGCCATTATGCCTCGTGGTCAGAAGAGTAAGCTCCGTGCTCGTGAGAAACGCCGCCGTAACAGAGGTGAGACCCAAGGTCTTATGAGTGCTCAGGCCACCACAGGAGAGGAGGAAAAGACCACTCCTTCTTCCTCTCCTGTTTCTGGGGATTATCCTTCAGGCTCCCCTGTTCCTGGCACTTCCCAGGAGCCTCAGGAAGGCTTGGCCACCACCAGTGCTGCTGCACATGTTTCACGCCCAAGATCTAATGTAGGTGCCAAACGCCAGGTTAAGGAAAGGAAAAATTCCTTCCAGGCCTCAACTTCCATTGAGAGTGTTCGCAAAGATCCTCTAACCAAGAAGGTGGGGATGCTGGTGCAGTTCCTGCTGTATAAGTATAAATTGAAGGAGCCCATTAAAAAGTCAGAAATGCTGAAGATCATCCACAAAAGGTACAGGGAGCACTTCCCTGAGATCCTCAGGAAAGCCTCTGAGCGCATGGAGCTGGTCTTTGGCCTGGAATTAAGGGAAGTCAAGCCCGGCGGTCACTCCTATATTCTGGTCAGCAGCCTAGACCTCACCACCGATGGCAGTGTGAGCAGTGCCTGGGGCTTTCCTAAGAATGGGCTTCTCATGCCTCTCCTGGGTGTGATCTTCTTGAATGGCAACCGCACCTCTGAGGAGGAAATCTGGGAATTCCTGAATATTTTGGGCATCCATGATGGAATGAGGCACTTCATCTTCGGGGAGCCCAGGAAGCTCATCACCCAAGATCTGGTGCAGGAAAAGTACCTGGAGTACCGCCAGGTGGCCAACAGTGATCCTCCACGCTACGAGTTCCTGTGGGGCCCGAGAGCCCACGCCGAGACCAGCAAGATGAGAGTCCTGGAGTTTTTGGCCAAGATCCATGATACCGTCCCCAGCGCCTTCCCCCCGCATTACGAAGAGGCTCTGCGAGATGAGGAAGAGCGAGCCCGAGCCAGAGCCACAGCTGGGGCTGCCTCTACTACCCGGGCCGGTGTACGTTCCCAGACTAAGTCCGGCCTCTCCTCTCCTCCCTAGAGAGGGCTGAGGCAGATTCTTTGCTTTGTAATTGGAAAGGCCTGTTAACTAGTGTTCCTGATATGCACAAATAACTAGCTATCATTTTTTTTTACATTTTTCAAGCAGTGTTCCTTTCAACAGAAAGTTTACTTAGATTCAGAATATAAGTTTATGAATAACATGGATCACACATTTATTGCTGTTTATCAGGCTTAGGAATAAGAGTTTTTGTTTTTTTGTTTTGTTTTGTTCCAATTTGAAATACAAATTGGAAATCCTTAAATCACTTTTGTGATCCAGAACAAGCTAATATAGCTTTAGGATAGGAATATCCTTGGAAATGTAAAAGAGTTCCACACTAAAACAGTTGCGACCAGAAGGTACATAGGTAGATGGATAGATAGAGTGATTGAGTAAAAATTGGTTAATTCTTGGTTTGTCTTACTTTTTGCTAATTTAAAAGATGCATACCTCAATTTGTTTATATTTGTTAAGAATGTTTGAGAATATAAGTCATAATGAATCAGACCTCTTTATTCGTGTCTCTTATTTTACACAGACATTGAGCATCTGTTCTTGGGAAGTCTTCGTGCTTGTACTGGGGATGTTTAGTCAAAGAAGACCCAGCCGCTGCCCATGCAATTATAGATTCTAGGAGCAGCTGTCCTTATGGAAGAGGGTGAGATAGTACTTCATAAAGAACAAGTCAAAAGCATGGTAAAGAGGGGGCGGAGAGAACATATTACTTAGTTTTCATTCCTAAGCAGAATTTTGGCTGATTGGGAGGTTTTTCTTGGACAGAGCACTGCATATTCTCTGACATGTCTTAGTTGTAAAAAACAAAACAAAACTCAGCTGCATAGATGGTAATGTCTGAGGTCAAGATAATCATAGTAATAACTGCCATTCCCTAATGTCCCAGTAGAAGACAGGCCCAGCAACAGATGCTTTCTGTACATTACACACACTCCATCAGTCCTACAAGACAGAGCTTATCAAACTTACTTCATAGAGAAGAGTCTGAAGTTCCTAGAGTTAGAGTTCGGCAATGTACCAGAACTGATAGGGCAAGAAAATGACAGGGCTGGGACTGGACTCCTGGTCTAAATTATTTTTTTAAAGGTTTTATTTATTCATTTGAGTGAGCGAGCAAGAGAGAGACAGCGTATGAGAGGAGAAAGGTCAGTGGGAGAAGCAGACTCCCTGCTGAGCAGGGAGCCCAATGTGGGACTTGATCTTGGGAGTCCAGGATCATGACCTGAGCTGAAGGCAGTCACTTAACCAACTGAGCCACCCAGGCGCCCCTCCTGGTCTAAATTATTATAGAGCCCACACTGTTTTACTCCTCCCACCCTGAGACACACCCTGTGCTTCTTATTTCAGTTTTCTCCTCAGTACTTCAAAATTTGTCTTAGGTGATAAAAAGAATGGCTTTGTGTCCAAACTGCTGGATTGGAATATATAGCCAGAGCAAAAAGAATACCAAAATAATTGAGAGGCATAAATAAATAAATGACAGGATTAGGTGACCATATGACCATCTACATTTGTAATGTTAAAGAACCTCAAAAGATCAGGGGCTCTCAAATCAGCCTGGACGGTCTGTTACCCGTAAAAAGGAAATCTTGCAGAGCAGACGTTACATGAGAATCCACCTGGCTGCTGAACGGAAGGAAGAGATCAGTGTATTTTTTCCCCTGACGGCCCACCACTGGGCCTGGGATTCCTGCCTTGTGCTACAGCTTCCCCGTTTCACATCCCTCCCAGGATAGAGGCGCATTCTCCGCAAGGTTCACAAGGCAGAAGCTGCTCCAGAGTTTGCAGAGCTTTGGAATTTCCCAGGAAGCCTTAAGTCCTAGAGACAGAAACCAAGGTGAGGGCCCCTTGTAGAAGGATTGGGGAGACCCACACCACAGAATACAGGCAATGCCAGGAACTTCAGGCCCATCTGTTCTTCAGCACAGGTAGTCTCAGATGCAGTTGTCAGGCTGAACATACCCTCACTTAGTCTTAAGGCTTCTCACGGGCATAAAAACCTTCATCTAAGGGCAGAAAGGAATATCAGTCTCAGAAATCATGGAGATCAACCTGAAAGAGGGCAATGAAAGGACCCAGCCAGCACAGTAGGATTCCATAAAAATCCTGTCCCAGTTGTCAGCTCTGTGAGTTCAGAATGGTCCTGGCTGCTTGTAGCTAACACTGACTTTAACTCAGGTCCCAGGAAGGTGTGGCCTTTGTCCCAAGGCTTTATCTTCAGATAAGCAGAGAGAGTAGAGTCCCAGGGAGGGTGCAGGGTCCAAGTGAATACACTGTGTGTGGACATGGGGAATCAACCAACCCACAGCTGACGGGGCTACACCTAACACCTTCTCTACTGTTAGCCTGGGAGGCACAGGCAAGAGCTGGCAGTCTCAAGTGCCCCGGGACTTCTACCTGGAAGCTCTCATGGAAACGAAGGCCTTGGCTTACATGCTGGCTGTTGAGAAGCGGAATCCCAGCCATGACAATGTCAAGGTAAGAGTCCTATATGAGGGGACACCTGGGTGACTCAATTGGTAAAGCATCCAACTCTTGGTTTTGGCTCAGGTCATGATCTCATGGGTGGTGGGATTGAGCCCTGTGTCGGGCTCCAACACTCAGTAGGGAGTCATCTTGAAGATTCTCTCCCTCTTCCCTCCCCGTACTCACAGGCTCACACTCTTTCTACAATAAGTAAATAAATCTTAAAAAAGAAATGCTGTATGAGGAATGAGGCAAGCAGCTACTCTATAGCAGATGTATTATGATATGCCAGAGCAGTAATAATACTAAAATAAATGTGAGGTTTGAATAAAGGGGGAAAAAGAGATAATACTTGCAGGCTATAGGATCATCTACATATGTGATTTCAGATAACCTTAAAAGATCAGGGGCTCAAAAAAGTTATCTGACTCAACCACTTCCTTATAAAAAAATAAACATATTAGAACTAAGTTTACATGAGACCTTAAAAGCCTGACCAGGAAAGAGAAGGAATAGAACAACATATTTTATTTTTCTTACAGCGTGCTTACATGGGCCCCCTGATTTGTGCTGTTGTGGATTTTGCATCTCTTATCACTCCTAGGACAAGGACCCATTCTCTGCAAGGTCTGGGTAGGGAAACTGTTCAAGAATTTTCAGGGATGTGGCATTTCCCAAGAAGCCTTTAACGGAAGTGACAAGAGCCTTTAGGAGGATACCCATTAACCAGAACTGGAGAAAGGAGAAAGCAACATCCCAGAATATTGGGTGTTACAGACAGAGCAGCCCCTGCCTTTCCTCAAAGCTAGAAGGCTCCAGGCAGAGCTGTTAGGCTGAGAATCTCCTCAGTTTTTCATAGCAGTTGTCAGGGTCTTGAGAGCTTTGGTCTAAGGAAGGCAATCTCAGGTCGGAAGAGGAAGTTGTCAGATGTAAATGTGAATTCCCTTAAAAAGAATGAAGGAAGCACCCACCCAGAACACTGGTGGCCTGTAGAGTCTAGTTCCTGCTGTCAGCCCTTGGCGGTCCTGAATTCCAACACATTATGAAGTGTAAAAAGACTGAGATGTGTGAGAGAACCCGAACCAGAGTTGCAGCCAGGCCTGGCACTGCTGCCATAGCCAGGGAGTGTGCTAGGGCCAAGACCAGTAGCATCTCCCACATCAAGTGAAGTCAGGGGGTGGGATTCATCTTATGGTAAAAAGAGGTCAACATCCTTTCATAAGGATCTACCTAAGCACCTAGGTAGAGCTGAAAGGAGCACATTGTCTTCTTTTTGTTCTTGCTTTACTTGAGTAAATGGGAGATTTATCTGTTTTTATTTTGTAATTTCTTTTTGGTACTTTTAAAGTACTGTTCCTTGAAATAGAAGGTTTATTTGACTTCAGTATCTGTGTTTATGAATAATATGCATCACATATATTGCTATTGATCAGTATAAGTATAAACATTCTGGTATTTTGTACAACAAATAGAAAATCCTTGCATCTCTCTCTCTCTCTCTCTCTCTCCCTCTCAGAGAGAGAAAGACAGTGTGCACATGAGCTGGGGTTGAGGGGTAGGGGGAGAGCGATAGAGAATCTTTAAGCAGGCTCTTCACCCAGTACAGTGCCCAAGACAGGGCTCGATCTCAGGACCCTGAGATCTGGACCTGAGCTGAAATAAAAAGTCAGATGCTTAACTGACTGAGCCACTGATGCTTAACTGAAAGAGCCCCACCTTGCATCTCTCTTTGTGATCTAGAGCAAAATAACATGTCATATGAATGGGGATTTTCCTGCAAATGTAAATGAACCTCGTGGTAGAATTGTTGGTATCAAGAAATTTAAAAAAAGGTTTTGGTATCTGCAAGATGGTAGAATAAGAATTTCCAGCACTTATTTGCCCACAGAAGTACAGTTAACTATGATATAAGTAACAAACTCCTTTATGAAAGGTCCAGAATCTATTTAAGAAAATGTGATAGTACATGTGAGCATAAAACTGAGATGAGCCACACTTGAGATGGGCAGGAACGCAATTAGACTTCACTGGCATCAGCCCCTCCCTCAAGTTGGCACAGCTGAGCCCCAAGAGAGACTGTGACTTCTCTCCATGTGGGGGAAAGAGATTGAGGTAATGCCATGTACCCAAAATACTGTTAGAGCTAATAAATGTATTTAGTTGCAGGATGCAAAATCAAAACACAAAAATCAGTTGTGTTTCTATATACTAACAACAAACTATTTGAAAAAGAAATTAGGAAAATAATTCTATTTAAAATAGTCTCAAAAAATAAAATCGGAATCAATTTAACCAAGGGAGCAAAATGTCTATACACTGAAAACAATAAGACATTGATGGAAGAAACTGAAGAACTCACAAATAAAAGGAAAGCTATCCCATGTTCATTTATGGAAAAAATAAATATTTTAAAAAATCATACTACTCAAGGTTATCTACAGATTAAATGCAATAACTATCATAATTCCAATGGAATTTTTCATAGAAATAGAAAAAAAAAACCTGAATTTCATATG